TTGAGATAGAGATAGGGATGTGTTGTAGAGTTGGAAGCTCTTAGGATTGATAGCTTATAATAGATTGAATGGTGTTGTGATGTGAATACACAAAGTCGTGCTATAATCCCCCATCTTATACCACTGCCTCCAAAAGGACCCAAACCCAGTCCACGCAATCTCATTCCCTCCAAGTCCCTGAAATCAAGTTCTACCATGCCCAGCGCCCTGCATCTGGCTGCGATCGTCTATCTCACGTCATGCAGGGACCCGGACAAGCTTGTGCCCTGGTACATGAGTCGTGGCGCATGACGTGCCCTAACAGCTTTGTATCTTGTCAAAACGGCCTTGGTGTGGCTTGTTCCATGCAGGAGCGAGTTACGATGGCCGTTGGTGCTAGGGGTCTTGGAATCGGAGTGGTCGGGCGAGGCTGGATGCGGTCATAGCGCAGCGCGGCTGGACCCTGATTTTAGGGCGGGAAGTACGTCATACCTCTGAATAGCTTCATCAGCGTCATCGCTGGGTTGTGAAGATTGCGAATACGGCTCCCAGGTATTGGATGAGAAGGCAGTCGGTGGTAATACGGTACTGAGTTTATTACGATAAGGTTGTGAGCATGATGAGGTCTGGAAAGGTGTTGTAGTTCTGATCGACTCGATGACGTCGCGACCGATGAGCTTGGTGGGGTTGCTTCAGAAGGTGCCCCGACTGCATTTCTCGTAAGTAATCCGAGCTGCAGTCTCAATCTTCTTCTCAGCTGGAGGTTCTCGTATCCTTCAAAGAATACAGCTGTCGATCATAAGGCCGTGCGAAAGAGCGCGTTGAAGCTACGGGTAAGGCTGAGGCGACGTTAGCCGTTCCCACCAGTTCGTGCCAGCGTTGACACATCGACCGATGGCATTCTATCGTCGATGGGCATTTCAATAGTCCCATCCTCGGTGATGTTCTGCCTAACTCTTACCAGGCTCCACTCTTGCACATGAGCGTGCCGTGACAGCCTTGTGATGTCACAAGAAATCATGAACGTCAATAAAAGTGCCACTTTGAACGGCGCTTGCTTCGAAAATTACACCAACTTCACACTGAATCAAACACCTGCAACCAGTTTCTCTTCTTTAGATTCTCTTTACTGATCCAGAGATACCCACAAACAACCACACAACATGTCGTCCAACAAGGGACAATTCGAGCAGGGTAAGCACCCATGATAGCGTCCGAACACTTTTCTTGTACTGACTTGGTATCACAGGCTTCCAGCCCGATGTCCAGCATCAACAGGCCCCCGGTCTCGAGTCCAAGCTAGATCCCCTGCCCAAGGTCGACGAGCTCCCTACACCAGAGGGAGGTGCTGAGAAGTACAAGGCAGCCGGCAAGCTCAAGGGCAAGCGCGCCATCATCACTGGTGGAGACTCCGGCATTGGCCGCTCAATCGCCGTTCTCTTCGCCATGGAGGGTGCCGACAGCTTCATTGCCTACCTCCCCGAAGAAGAGAAGGACGCACAAGACACCAAGAAGATGGTAGAGGAGAAGGGACAGAAGTGCTACACTCTAGCCGTCAACCTGAAGGAGAGAGCAAACTGCCAGAAGGTTATCGACGAAGCTGTCAAGCAGATGGGTGGCATTGATATCCTTGTCAACAACCACGCTTACCAGATGATGATCAACGACATCCACGACCTTTCTGAGTACGTATCACTTCCTCTTCTTGTTGAGGTCGCATACTAACAGTATACAGGGAACAATGGCTCCACACCTTCGACACAAACATCCACCCCTTCTTCTACCTCTCCAAGTACGCCCTCCCCCACATGAAGCGCGGCGCAACCATCATCAACAACGCCTCCATCAACGCCTACGTCGGCCGCCCCGACCTCCTCGACTACACCTCCACCAAGGGCGCCATTGTGGCTTTCACCCGCGGTCTCTCAAACCAGTATGTCGGACGGGGTATCCGCGTCAACGCCGTTGCACCTGGTCCCGTCTGGACTCCTCTCATCCCTGCTACCATGAACGACGAGGCTATCAAGCAGTTCACTGCGCCGATTGGCAGGCCGAGCCAGCCTAGCGAGATTGCTACTTGCTTTGTCTTCTTGGCTAGCAATGACAGCAGCTCGATTAGTGGGCAGACTATCCACGCCAACGGTGGTACTATCGTCAACGGTTAAGTGGGGTCATGTTCTAGGACCGCTGCTCTGACGCCGATGTGGACGATGCATCTTACGAGTTTACGAACATGTAATATAGTCAAATGAACGAACCATAATATCAATGGCCTATTTCTCATGCTGTGATACATGTAATGATGGTTGCGGTCCTTCAATTACAATGGCATGCATGCTACATCGTAGGTTATTTATCCCCATTGCTCAACTCACTTCCGTCCAAAGTAAAATAGAGTCATCGCAATGATCGTATTGAAACATCCAATATGGTATCTGGCCCTGCACAAACTCATCGCATCGCATTACAATCCCATATCAAACCACATCCTCAAGGATGATAGGCAGCCCCATCCTGCCTCGGAGTAGGCCCCTCCTTCATCTTCTTCATAATATTACTCAATTTCCCACCTCCACCACTCCTCCCCTCAATCTGAGACCCAGACACCGGTGGCCCTTGATACGCCGTCTTGCCCGGTACCGCGGATGGCCCTGGACCCGCCTGAGAAGGGGGCGGTGCAGCTCCAATCGTAGGTCCTTGTGGCTGCGGGTGCGACACCGATGTATGATTCCCCATGTGTGATTGTTGCTGCTGCTGTTGTTGGGCAGCGTATTGGCGGGCGCGTGCGGCTTCGATTTCCGATCGGCCTTTGTCGATGACGGCTTGGTTTTTGGCGTGCGCGGCGGGGTTGCGGCGGTCGAATGTGTCGTTGAAGGTTCCGCGGAGGGTTTCTCCTGCGCCCTGTAGAATAGATCAGTATGTGTACGCATAAAGAGTGGTAGTATGTGTGGTGCTTACGTGGATACCCGCTGCTGCCGCTTTGAGGTTCGCCATCGTGCTCTGCTTGTTCAGATCGTGGCCAGCGCGGTATGGAACCGGGCGGTCTGAATCATTGACGTTGTTGGTGTTGATGCCAGACTGTAGGCTAGGGGGTATGCTAGATGGTTGTTGGTTCGGAATGGGCGGCATGCCGGACTGCTGCTGTTGGTATGCAGGCATTTGAGGGATGCTCGATCGCCGTGGTGGTTGCTGCTGTCCTGGAACTGGAGGTACGGGTGGAATTCCATCCTGGTGTTGCTGAGAGTCCATCCGCTGGTGGTCTGGATGGATGCCATTCCCAGGCACCTGGCGTGGAACTCCTTGAGGCGGTGCTCTCGCAGGGTAGGAGAAGTTCGCACGGTTCGGGCTGCTCGGAGTGACTGGGCTGACAACTTCCTCCATCGGGTTCGGCCTCTGAACTCCAGGCGATACGGAGTCCAGCTCTACTCTATGCCGTATGTTGTTCTTCGCTGGTATGGGTGGAGACGAAGGGCCGTCGGTGTTGGAGACTTGTGGAGAGAGTCTGTTGCCTGGCTGGTTGTTGCTCATAGGCACTGGTGGAGTGATGTTTTGAGGTATAGCGGACTGCGCTGAAAGACCGGGGCCTTGATGGTAGTGGTTGTCCGGCTGAGGAGGAGCCGGCTGTGGTGGGCTGGGTCCAGAAGTGTGTACGCTTTGCTCAGACGGAGCAACGCTGTCGCGGGGCTGCTCTACAGTGGTGGAGCCACCCGGGCCGGTTGTAGTGGTCGTCGTCGTTGTGGTGGTTGTTGTGACGGTGACGATGTTCCCCGAGCCGGCATCGCGATACGTCTCTCTGCCCACATCCTCATGGCTCGAACGACTTTGAAGTGTCTGTTGCGTTTGCGTGGGAGGCGCAAGGGTATTCTGGTGTTGCCCGTTTGGTGGTGTAGTGTGAGTGGGAGGTGCTTGGTTGTTCGCAGGTGGATGGTTGTACTGTTCGCCGGAGATGGGACGAGCTTGGTTCTTGAAGCTCGGATCTGCGCTGCTGCGCTCGCTACTGTAATACGCCGAGTCGGCATCCCTGCGCGCCTTTTCCTTTTCTTCCTCTTTATGAGTAGGGTTAAGACTATCTTTCGATGCCTTCTCTTTGGAAGAGAATGGGTTGGACATGCGCCATTTCGACCGCTTTTCCTTCTCAGCCGACGTCATGTTGTCGGAGCCAGACATGGGTTGCGAAGAATTGGCTGCGGGTTGACCACTCAAGCCACCGGTCATCTGCTCAAGTTCCTGTCGTTCGCGACTCTTTCGCTTTTGAAGTTTGGCAGGCTGTCGGAAACCGTCATCCATTGCCAGCAGTACACCCAAATTCGGTTGACAGGTGGGACCCGGTTACGATGCGCACGTGGAGAGCAGGTCTAGGGAACGGTGGTCGAAGCTCTTGACCCTGGAATAAGAAAATACTGTATGTATAACAAACAGTATGTGAGTATGTGCGAGGTGCGTCAATGTCAGTAGCGGGGAAGCCTTTGTATCGAGGACGAAACCCGAAGCAAGGCCTCTCTGCCCGCTGAAGACCCCATGATATCATACCGTGGTTCTGTGGCGCAGGAGAAGTGTGGCACCCAATTGGGAGAGCCAGCGGGTGGCGATCAGTGGAAAGACGGCTGACAGGCAGGGATCTTGACGCTCGATGATGCTTGAGGGAACCTTGCGAACGAACTATCCAAGTTTGCGGTCTAAACTATGCTTCGCGCGGTTAGCCCATTCGGAGTCCTATTCGCGTCGTGGGATGTTCGCAGTGTTCTCGAGATGAAGCGCTTAATTGATGACTGCTTGCGGGATGAGATGCAAGGCTGTCTCATCATGGGCCATGGTCGTGTAGCGCAGCCGGGGCGTGCTACCCCGCGCACTCAGCCGCAACTCAGCCCGCTTCGCTCAAGGCATCAACAGACTGAAGCTGCTACAATCACATTGTTGTCACCATGTTCTTGCACATTTCACAACTTTTCTCGAAGCCATCGTCATCTTTCTTCCATTATGCTTAACAACCACATCTTGCCGTAGCTGCACGTAATTCTATCATGGCCGAGGTGGTAGGCCTGGTCGCCAGTGTCGTGCAGCTGGCTGGCGCTGGCTTGAAGCTGTCCCAGACGCTGTACCAGTATGCCGATGGTGTAGCTTCTGCCGATCGCAGAATCAAGGATATCGCGAACGAAGTCAAGCTCACAAGCTTCGTTATCCAAGAGCTGGGGACCATCTTCGAGAGAGACGAGACTGCAAACCTGATTTCAGAAAATGCAGTCAGGACGGCGAACGAGACGATCAAAGAGTGTTTTGCGGTTTTCACGGAACTTGAGCTGAAAATCAACAAGGGCAAGCCAGGGAAGATGGGTCGGCTGATGTTACCCTTCAAAGACAACAAGATCGAACTGCTGCGAAGCCAGATTGATAAGCTCAAGAGTACGCTAGAGCTGTTGATGCAGGTGCTGATACATGCTCATCAAGTTTCATCGGAGAAGTACAATCGCGAGGCTGAAGCGAAGCACCGGGAAGAGATCAAGCAGTTACTCGAGAACAAGAAGCAAGCCACAAAGAAGTACGAGGAGTCGCTGAGAAACTTCAGTATAAGCGATGGCAGCACTGTCGTAGATGAGGGTGATCGATCGCTACAGGATGAGGTCGACGTTGGTTCGCCGTCTAATCTCATCAACGCTGCTTCAGCCATTGGCTCTACCATCAACCCAGATACGCTTGCAACATGCGTGGACCATGTCCGAAGCCTGTTAGCAGACATCGAAACTCTGCAACTTGCCTTGACCAAGCAGGTAGATGGAGACGATCATGCTGATCACCATCAGAAGGCTATCGGATCTTACTTCCTCGCTCGCTCTCATCTCGACAGTGTGCTGCTTGGTAATGCTCAAGCCAAAGTCACCGATACATCAAGTCAACCATGGATCAGCAAGACGAGCACCCATACTAGTGTATCTGCTACGTTGAATGAGACGGCAAAGGATGAAGATGTCAGCAGCTCTTCGAGTAACGAAAGAGCACGAATAGAGTTCGAGATGTGGCGAGTGAGAGAGCGAGTGAAAGAGCGAACAAGAAACCGAGTTTCTGCTGAAGTCAACCGGGGGTCGACACCCGCCAGCCGTCATCTTGAGCGGGTAGCAAGAAACCAAAGGGCCAAGGTTGAGCATAGAAGCGGCACACGGGGTTCAGCCCACCGCCCTCCATTGCGCGCGGAAAGCGAAGATATTCCCCTCGCCTTACCTCCTAGTGCAGATTATATGCCGTCTAGTTACCGTGAGGAGTATGCACCTACACTCCGAAGGACCAGCAATCGAACCGACCCAGAAACGGATGGAGCTTCAGATGGTGAACTCGTAACCGAGGTGTCCGATCAAATTGATCGACCTGGAGCAACGCATTCTCAGCTACAGTTGAACAATGAACGCTCCCATGCGGATGATGCTCAGCACCCGCTTCTAAGCCAGGCGAGGCTAGCGAAACTAGAAGCTCGCGCTCGAGATGAGAGGCTTTGGCAAGAAGAACTACGTAGAAGAGAAGGTTCCAGTGCCCCTGAAAGAGTCAAAGCAACCAATAGGCGCGATTCTCTTCGACCTACACAGACTCAGCTATCACAGCCAGCCCGTGATAGATCGCCTTCGTCGTCGCTCGGATACTTGTCAGAAGAAATTAGAAATGGCTCATGTGCGTCTAGCAGGCGCGTCCAGGAGGCTAAACGAAGTCCTAAGAAAGACAAGGACAAGATCGAACACGATGGACCACCGGCCGTAATGGCCTCGTGCGACGATTCGTCTGAAACGAATGAGCCCAATCAGAGGGAGAAAGCGATAGCAAGAGAGCAAATGCGTAGGAGGAGGAGAAACCACCGTGAACGAAAAGAGCGAGAGGAACAGGAAAAGACACGAAGGGAATGTAAGTATAACCTCAACTTGCAAGCACACAGAAACCAGGAGCTGCACCTTTCGTATCGCATCATTGAAGAAATAGGCCTAACGTTACCATCAGATATCGAAAAGCTGAAGATGCCAGAATTGGCAGAGCAATCTTCCACTCACGCGGGCGAGCCTGCTCCTACTGAAGAGATTCCAGCTGACCCCCAGGACTCCCCTTTTTACTCCAAGGACGGCCGTGTGAAAGCGGCAATAGCTCTTCTTCTCGCCAAGGAAGACCAGCGATTCAGCCTTAACACCTACTGCACTTCCGAAATAGACCCGCCAGAAGACGACCAGGTGAACCAGCAAATGGCTCTTCTTCTCACCAGGGGAGACCCGACACCCGGCCCTGACTCCAACTGCACTTTCAGAATAGACCTGCCAGAAGACAGAGACGCTTGTGACTTTGAACCATCCTCATCGAAGACGAGCATGAAGAAAAAGGATGACAAAACCGAACAGACTAAACCACTGATGTCAGCGAGCAGGCGCCACGGTTCATTTAAAACGCACGTTCGCTCTCATAGTGTGTCTTCGCGAGGATCTGATGTTGACAAGCAACTGGAGAGAGCGAAGGCAAGACGTGAAGAAACAAACATGGAATACGATCGACGACGAGAGCAAGAGAGACGGAAAGAGTCGAACACGGATTCAACCTCGACTCGTAGTAGTGGCAAAGTACCCCACTGGCAACGCGCGTCGTCGGCGGCGTCGAGGACACGCAAGTCTATTGATAGCAACGAAGACACCCCAGAGTCAGCAGGCCCAAGAGGTCGCATCGGCGCAGCTACCAGACACCATGAACGGTCATGCTCCCGCTCTCGTGTCCTGGTCCGCGTTCGTTCTGGAGTTTGGGAGTTCCAGTACAAGCCAGCAGAAGACGGTAGCGACAAGCAAGGAGAGGGTATGAATTGCGAGTCGGAGTCGAACCGAGATGAGGAGAGGGCAGGAAAGGAGCGAATAGTGACAGCGGCTTCAGAAGGTGTGACGGCCCTACAAAGTGGCCACCGCGAGCTATCGCCTTCCCGCCCCCGTCGTACCCGTCGTCCCCGTCCCCCTCGTTCCGGCTATGCTCAAATCGACCCACGCTATCATAGCGACTCTAGCAGTTATGTTAGTCCCAGCGAAAAGATTGAGCGCGAGCAAGAAGGAGATAGGATCAACCAGCTAGAAGAGGAAACGCGGCGTGACCGGGTGTTGGAGGGAGAGAACAAGGGGGCGGAAAGGGAACGACGAAGGGGACCACTCTATCTTCCACAGGCTATCCCCTGTGCGGTTGACACAAGCAGGAAAGGCGAGCAACGTAAGTGTCATCCGAAGCTTGCAGAAACATTCATTACTCTCGCCAAGAGTTCAATCGCAGTATTACTAATGCCTATACCCCTAGTGAAAGAAACATCGCACGCTCGTGAACAGCGATTGTTACGGCAGAGACAAGAGAGCTCAGAAGAGTACTCTTCCCCAAGTATTCAAGAAGACACTTCAGAAAGTGAAGAAGCCGAGGATTCATGGAGTCACATTGATGAGACGGAAAAGGTGGGCCGGGTGGACGAGGTGGACGAGTTACTGAAGGAATGGACTACTCTGCTTGGATGATGTGTGGTTTTCGACATAGCAATCAACAAGAGTTATATACGTTACGGCAACATTTTTGTATGCATCAACTACATATGTTTCGTATATACTTCCCACATCTACAGTAAGCATCACGTCTGATCCGCGATGATGAAGGCGAGCGGGCAGTATGTAGCACAGCGCGCACTACACAGACTATCTCTCATCTCCCACCACCCACCAGCATCATAACCATCCCTCCACATCCACAATTCATCGAAATTCAAGCCATCCACATCTTTAAACCCATCCCTAGCCCCTCCGACCCTCGCAGACTCAACCTACATCTCCCGACATCGCCCTCCGATATCGAACCACACCAAACGCGGTAACCCATCCCACCTCACACTTTTCCGTTCCGTGCCTATCCACCGCCGACAACTTTTCCGCACATCGGCGCGCCCACGGTGCGACGCGACACTTACGCGCCGGCATCTCATCACGGTTCGCCGTGACAATTTTTCAAGACATGCCCGTACCACCCACACACCCACCCCCATCCCGGCGCACCCTGACAAAACGCATAACATAACCCACCCGCCGCGGGCTTGACTTGATTTACCCTAACCAAAACCAGTAATAAGCTATCGCGCCCAACTCGCATCTGGCGTGTGGGCTTTTTTGCTTCTTCTTCGACGTGGACGTGGACGAGCAGTGGGGTCGGGAATCTTTCGCTGTTGCTTTTTTGGCGGGGCAGGGGCGCGTGGAGGGGCGCCACGCGACTGCCGCCTGCTTGAGCCCTGACTAGGAAAGTTTGGGCATTGCTTTTGTTGTGAGTAATTTTCTGGGGGCTTGGTGACGTGATGGCGTGATGAATATTGTGAGTCGTAAATGCTGAAGATTGGGTTAGGATCGTGTCTATTTTGGATAGCTGTGTCTTATTGGGAGATTCTGCGTGCGGGTTCCTCCGGTGTTCAGTTGCAAAGTGACACGCGTGTGTGAATGACTTGCTTGGTGGTCTGATTCAAGTAGGAGTGATGCGAAAGAATGTGGTGAAATATTTCATGATTCTATTCATGTAAGGTATCTATATACAAGTGGAAGCTTCCAGCTTCCGAACGCCAAAGACAATGAAGGTATCGTAAGGTATCATATACAAAAGACAATCCGCTCAGCAGCGAACTGTTCACCACCAGTCACCCTGGTCGTGCATGGCAGCAGCGACCTTGCGGAAACCGGCGACGTTGGCACCACCGACGAGAGATGGGAACTCGCCCTCGGCAGGAGTGAAGTACTCCTTGGCGGTACCCAGGCAGTTCTCGAAGCAGTCCTTCATGATGCCCTTGAGCTTCTCGTCGACCTCCTCGGCGGTCCATGACAGACGCTGGGAGTTCTGGGCCATCTCGAGACCAGAGACGGCGACACCACCGGCGTTGGCAGCCTTTCCGGGGGCGTACCAGATAGCCTCGCCCTTCTTCTCGCGACGGTGAGCCTCGAAAACCTCGATAGCCTCCTGTGTGCAGCCCATGTTGGAACCCTCAGCGATGAACTTGGCACCAGACTCGATGAGAGCCTTGGCCTCGTCCTCGGAGACTTCGTTCTGGGTCGCTGAAGGAAGAGCAACGTCGACCTTCTTGACCTCCTTCCATGGGCGGGCACCCTCAATGTACTTGAAGCTGTGGTTCTCCAGAGCAGTAAGAGCCTTGCGCTCCAACTTGAGGGCGGCGATCTGGTTGATGATCTCGGGGGTGAAACCCTTGTTGTCTTCGGCGATCAAAGCGCCCTTGCTGTCGCTGAGGGAGATGACGGTGCCGCCGAGCTCGATGATCTTGAGCGCAGCGTACTGAGCGACGTTTCCGGAACCAGAGAGGGCGACGCGCTTGCCCTTGAACGACTCCTTTCCGCCTGAGGCGTAGTTGATCATGTGGTCAACGTAGTATACGAGACCGTAACCGGTGGCCTCGGGACGGATCAAGCTGCCTCCCCATGAGCCACCCTTGCCAGTGAGGACGCCCTCCCAGCGGTTGCGCTCTGCTCGGTATGCGCCGAAGAGGTAACCGATCTCGCGACCACCGACGCCGATGTCGCCCGCAGGTACGTCTGTGTCAGCACCTGTGATTTACGTAAGTGAAATGTTCCTAGTGGAGAACCAAGAAAGCAGCGCGAACGTCGCCGACGGGGCAGTGCCAGACAGACGGGAAGATAAGGCAAGATAGACCCGCCAGATCTCGTTGGTCTGCTGTCGGAAGAGCATGCGAACCCGTCAAGGTGCATGCCCCGCTGAGGCTGAAGTGAAGGGACGCGCTAGGGTTAAGACATACCGATGTGCTTGTTGAGCTCCCTCATGAAGGCAACGCAGAACTTGCGGATCTCGTTGTCAGACTTGCCCTTGGGGTCGAAGTCGCATCCTCCCTTACCACCGCCCATGTTGACTGTAGTGTATTAGCTTGTTGTTTGTATTCGATCGAGTCTGGTATGACGTACGGCCGGTGAGCGCATTCTTGAAGATCTGCTCGAAACCCAAGAACTTGAGAATGGATAGGTTGACGGTAGGGTGGAAGCGGAGGCCGCCCTTGTAGGGACCGAGGGCGGAGTTGAATTGCACGCGGTATCCCTTCTGGACCTGGCACTCGCCCTTGTCGTTCTCCCAGACAACGCGGAACTGGATGATACGCTCGGGGACGGAGACGACCTCGAGGGCCTTCTTGTATTCGGGGTTCTTGGAGAAGAGGGAGGAGGCCTCGAGGGTGGAGACGAGCTCTGTGAGGTGTTAGATATGTGCAGATGGGGAGGCAGGGTAGAGTTATGGTAATAACTCAACGGTTTAGTGGTGAGGCGCAAACGTACCCTTCCTGGCTTGCTCAAACTCGGGCTCAGACATTGTGATGTTGGGTATCTTGGGGACTGAAAGAAGATGTGAGGTGATGGAAATTGACACAGTCGAAGAGTCACAAGTTGATGGAGAGAAGAGGCAGGAGCGAGTGTCTGGTATATATAATTGCAGTCGGCGCAAGCTAGATAGTTCGCTGGGCCTGCGGTGACAGTGCGCGGAACAAAGTCGCACTCGATTTGAGTACGTCAGAGGCCGGGAGATTGGGGTGCTGGACCCGTCTCAGTGGTCAATGGGGTCTACTGCACGCCATGTTGATGCAAACCATGGTGTGCACTTTTTCTACTGATAAGGATCTGGCCAATGGGCGGGCGAGGACAAGTATCGCGGGGTGGTTGCACGTGAAGTAGCGGGGGCTCCGGCCACTCGAGGCTCGTGGCGGGCGGTAATAGTCGAGAGTCAAACCATGGGAGGCGACGCGATGCCGACGTCGGCGGGCGCGCGAGGGAGTCTTGTTACGTTGGGCTTTCGCCTAGTGGCGTGTCAGGGTAAAGAGAACAGGCAGGGAGAGTGGGAGAAGCCGGAATGTGGGCGTGAGCTTGGGCCACGCAGGATTGTCTTGGCGAAGCGGCCGCTGGCGACCTCCTGCTGCGGAGATGCCGGACATCCTCACCTTTGTATGCGACGTCAACACGCAAGCTTGAAACCTGTATGATATAGACATAGCCTGTCTGCGACATTGCACTGCCTCAATCTCTACCGTCGCGTCCTCCGTCATGCGCATATGCGCGCATTGCAGTCATTGAGCTGCAAGATCATGACTTGAGACTCGATGGCGGCGTCACAATATCGACATGGTCATGCATCGGAAATAGGCACAGATGAGCATGCTCCATTTCTACATTTGGTGGCATGTGAAAGAGATCGATTTCCCACCCTCCACGCGCTGACCCCCACGCCCGACATCTCTGCCTCCACACTGAGCACACTCACGGGCAATCGGTAGGGTCCCAATCTGGAGAAAAATTGCACGTCAGTAAAAGCAGCGGGATGAGAGTATTGACATGGCTGCGTATGCCAGACACCCAAAGGAACTCACCGGTCACCAGGTATTCGTCCAACCCGTCCATCGTCTCCATGTCGCCATCCTCGATTACGAAGCCTCCAATCTCCGAGTTCTCGACGATTCGCTCCTTCTTCACACTTTTGGGTAGTGGCACATAGCCGTGTTGCAGACTCCAGCGGACCAAAAGCTGGCCCGGAGTGCACGAGTACTTCTTGGACAGGGCCACGATCTTCGGATGCTTCATGCGCAAGGCTCGGACCAGCGGCGCGTATGCCTCTACGACAATGTTGTGCTGCTGGCAAAAGGAAGTGATGTCCTTCCGCCTAGTGTACAAAGTTAGCACTGTTGCGCATGCAATGCAGTCCCTTCGGGGAACTCACGTATTGAACGGGTGAACTTCGATCTGGTTAACCGCTGGAGGAATCCGGGGGTTGGAGTCCAGTAGCTCTTGCAACTAGCATATTGTCAGTGATTGACCTCGGCGACGTTGAATGTTCGGTGACGCTCATGACTATACTGAAGAGTCCAATGAGGGCGACTACAACGACTTTCCTATCCTGGGTGTATGTTCGTTCGCACTAGAGACTGAATACGGGCCTTCCCGAGACAACTAAAGCAAAAAGACGGGAACCAGGGTCTACTTACATGTTTGACACCATAATTGGAGACGCCTCCAATCTTGACTTCGCCGTCGTTGATTGCGTCTTCCACCGCTCGCCAGCTGTCGAGACGCGCCTGCTTGCCGCCATATGGGGAGTGCAACAGAAATAGGTCAATGTAGCCAAGACCCGCCTCCTTGACAGATCTCTTGATGGCTTTGCGGGCCGTTTCGTATGCGGAGTTGGACGCTAGCTTGGAAGTGTAGTGGATATCTTCGCGCCTGAGCGACTCGGTATTGGCATCACTTGCGAGAAAGTCAGAGATGGCTTTGCCAGACTCCTTCTCGTTATGGTACATCTGAGCTGAATCGACTCTGTGCACGCGTCATCCGTCAGCCGTGTGAAAGCTTGGTCTCGTGATGCTACTCACGCTCGATAGCCAGCCTGCCGTGGTGAGCATTGTGTTTACTGATCATCAGGAACGGCAAAAGCATACCTCGAGCGCCCACCGGACGGCTTGATAAGTCTCCTTCCCGGACGTCAGATA